CATACATACATACATACATACATACATACAATACAAATATATAATATACAAAAATTCTGTGCATCTCCTGGGGGCTAAGCCCCCCTTGTCCTTTAAACCTAGTGACACCCCTGGTCCCAACCCCARCTTTGGGAACCACTGCATTAGATRACACTGTAAACTATTAATAATGATGTCATAGGTTTTTATATTTACATCAGCTCTTACTGTTCACTRTGATGCTGAAAGCAGAATAATTCATCAAACGTCTGAACGTTTGTTACAAACTGTTTACACAAAACAAGAGCTTCAACAGAACAGTGAGGATCTGAGGTGAGCTTCCTGCTTCAGCCACCAGGAGGGTTTCTGTGCAGCACCTGAGTGACTCGAGCTGTCCGACCTGCTGCCAAGTCAGCGTGTGAAACAGTGAAACCAAGCTCTGCACCTAAATCCAGGCAGTGAGCTTTTACACCGAGGAGGAGGAGATGTCTGTGGCCTTGCATCCCCGTTAACCCCAGCAGGCATTTTTCTGCTCACAGACTGACCCCACAGGTTCATAACTGAAGCCTTCAACACATGCTGAGAACTTTATGAGTCACCTATTCATAAACACAACTCACATTTTCACAGATTCGCTGAACRACTCTGCACCAGCCTGATGCTGACACCTGTCTCGTCTCAGCACAGATTTGCACCGTTTATTGTGAAAGAGCGCTCACCTCCAAGTCTCCCAGCCAGATTTAAACGTTTATCTCGTGTTTAAAAGCTGCAGGAGTTCAGACTTGATTCATCCGTAACACACTTCAAACCACAGCTGCAACAAAAAACACACAAAACAGAACAAAAACAATTAAATAATTACAACAACAAGAGTAAAACAAACAATGTTTTGAATGGAATGGCTAAAATAAGCTGACTCAGCAGAAATAAATCTTGGAAAGGATGAGAAGAAAATAGAATCTGCTACAACTTTCAGAYATTTGAACAGAGTGAAGTTTGTGTGTCTGATTAATGTTATTTTTATTTTATTAGATGTTAAATCTGACCATCAGTTAGAGAATGATGATGGTGGAGGCAGAAAAACCCAGGGAGCAGGTAAAAATTAACAAAACGGGGCTGTTGTGACAGCAAAAACTCACAGGAGCTTCTCAGGGACCAGCTTGCATGAGAGACACCTGACTGACTGAAGACATGAGCAGACACACACTTCTTCTTCTTCTTCTTCTTCTTCTTCTTCTTCTTCTTCGTTTTTATTGGCGGTTGGCAACAAACTTTCAGTAGCATCACCGC